AAAGTGCCAACCTGTTAGTACACAAAACAAAGTCGATATCAGAAAAATATCAATGAACTGAATAACAACATAAACTCACTCGCTCCGGAATGAATATTCATCGGATGCGTTATCCCGTCGATCTGAGGTTCATGGAAAAAACTCTCAGACTGCCATTCTCCACCAACCCACAGCCATTCCTCCTGAAAGCGTGGAGGGTTTCCGAGATGTCGGTTATTATCTCACCGACATTAAGACCATATTGAGGCTTTGCTCCGGCAAAGAAACAACATGAAGTCTCCGCCACTCTCCTATTCGGGCTCTTCTTAAAAGTGTAAATGCTTCTAATTTCTTCACATGACGGGAGGCCCTCGCCTCTCTCATGCAACAACACCATCAATCCGATAATCTTCTTCCAACTATTTGGCATTATTTGACATAACGGTAACCCCCAACTTCGGAGATATTCCGTAATCAGACTTGGCAATGGAAACCTCAACCCCGACCTTAAACTCTCCGCAAAAATGCCAACACAACCCGGAGGAGGGCTAGTTATTCTTTCCCCCGGATAAGGCACAAAAATCTTCACCGAGGGCGGAATCCGAATTTGTTCCCGGAGCATCACTACATCGGCATCCGTCAAGATGTTGGGCTCACCTTCGAAGTCGATCGCAGGATCGGGCCATTTTCTCACCGGCCTCCTCCAATGTTCCTCCAGATCTGCAGCGTTCTCCTCCACCACGCTATCACCATTCTCGTCGTTCGGTTTGATATCGAGTTGCCTCACCAATATCGGATCCCATCGATGGTACTCAAAAGCCAATTCGACCAATTTCGAATCATGGTATACCTCAAGCGGAACCGATACGGTGCTAGATGAACTCGCAACAACTATTTATTTAACCTTCGACGCCATACGACCAGAAAGAAAATCGAAAATAAATACGAACAACAAAAAAGAAATCAGGCTTACCAAAGAATTCGATGTCACTCGAGCAAATGGAATCGTACACAAGAACAATTCACAAGTCCCCAAGAAATTAACAGCGAGAAAGAATGTTAGAAGATTCAAAGATGACAACAAAAGGCAGAAAAACTTAGTCACATTTTACCAAGAGGTATTTATAATCTACATTTTCGACCGTTAGGGCTTCTGATTGGGGGCGCGTGCAATCGACGCGATCCCTCACTTCAAACGGCACAACCTTTCGCCTGACAACACCTACAGTACACGTGTCACTCTATAAAGACAACTGTTGCCTATTTCTCCAAGCGATGCGCCTTCTCGTATTTCACAATTAATGCCCGACCGTTATGTCCCCTCAAGTCATCTCTAACGCTGCCAGCAATTTGTTGAAATATTACCAAGTGTTTTCACCTCGGAGAACAGCCTTCACTTCGGAGCATACAACCCACTTCGGTTACTTCGTATATATGAATACACCAATAGGTATCTTCAAAACCTACGGCTGATTACCGACTCGAAATTTCTATCCATTTTTGCAGTATCGACGACCATCACTTCGTATGCTCACCGATGCCGGGGGCCTCTCTGTTATCATCCGACTCGGTAATTCAGGATTACTTATTCAAAGATCACGTGTTATGATAATCATCATTGGCGACAGACCTGAATCCCTTTTACCTCGGGTTATATTGCAAACCCGGTCTTGAATAAAAACCGACTTACTCCAGAAAGACCGAGGTCGCCACAAACCGATATCATCATGAACCGAGGTCACCACCCCCGAAGCTGGTGACAAGGCGCCTACACGCCATTTTCACGAACCACAAGATTTTTCATTATTCAAGTGGGACCCGCTGACAATACCGCCCACAAAAAGTAGCTTTATGAAAAAAGCATCGTACAAATCCCGATATTTGTATCCCAAAAAGTTACTATAAATAGTTACTTCATATACTTGTACAGGGGATCCCTGGACTGTTTTTATCTGAAACACGTAACAGCTCACTGTAGCTTTTCACCTCGGTTCACCTCAGACCAGGGCCATTGTTCGAGTTTTGATTGCATGTTCTACGTTCAAATCATCCAAAATACTTAAGTAAACATATCCATAATCGTTGTTAACAATCACATAACAACAATATCCACTTGCAAATCCCAGCATAATAACAGACCTCCTTTACTCCCTTCAGGTTCCACAAAGCAAAATCTGGATTCAAAACCCAATTTATTACAGGCTTTTAAGGTAAAATTTTTGTTTTTCTTTTTTTTTTTTGTTTCTGATAAAAATAGAAAAGTGGGGTGGTGAGTATTCAGAGCCTCTCGAATTTAGGGAACTGTAGAGGATTTACCCAGACCTTTATAGTCCCACACCAGAGCTAGCTTTGATCGCTCTGGTGCCATTTGGGGCTGGCGTCCTCCACCTCTTTGTATGATAGCTTAATCTTTTTATTTTTTATTTTTTTATGTTCTTTCTTAGTGGCTTCCTCTTGATTATGTGGCCTCTCAGTCAGTTGTAACATCTGTGCATCTCTGTTCCTTTTCCTTCCTATAATTAGGCCTGTACTGAGTGGTAGTGATTCTTGTCTGGTCAGTCTCCCCTTGAACAAAGAGTTCCTTTTCCATAATCTGCCTGTCTGAAGAGTAGGTGTTTTTCGGTTAAGCTCACTACCTTCCTTATCTGACATTTGGATCACCATGTTGATTTCTTCCTCCTCTGGGATCAAATCCAGATTCCATTCTGTATCAGTATTTATTGGCACTTGATGCAGCTCATTAGGATTCTGGCTTACCTTCATTCCCTCTACTTCCACATATGAAGACGAGGATCCAACAACATAGATGCTCCTCTCCTTGTTGCCCTCAAATTGACCTTGCCGACCTTGCCTATCATTCTCATTAGATTCATAAACACCATGTGGTTGTACTGATTCCCTCTGGCTATAGGACTCAGATGGAGCATTTTGCCTGCTGGGAGATGGATCATTGTTCTTGCCAGCTGATGGTGACCCTGAGACAATCACCCCTTCCACAACTTTAAGCCACTCACCGTATTGCCCCTCGTTCACGCATTTGTTCACAAAGTCCGCTTTACGTTTGGGGTAGTTTTTGTCAATATGCCTTAATCGTCCATAGAGTAACCAAGGCTGACTATCCTTTCGTACTTGAATTGGATTGTGACTAGTTGCTCCCCTATTCTTATTGTGGACCATCTGGGAAGTGGATCTCTGATGTCCAATATGGCTTGAAGGCGAATAATTCTTCCTTCTTGATTACCTGCTCGGGCCATAATAACATTTCTGACTCCTTTGAATGCTCGCTCAAGTTTCATCCCAACTTCCGTACATTACCAATTAATAGGCACACCATGTGCTTGAACCCAGATAGTCAGCTCGTTGAAAGTTGGATGATTCTCCGATAAGCCTGCTGTCCATTCTCTCAGTATGAGGTATTGGCTTTCAAATATCCAGTTTCTCTCCAAATCCACCTTGCGTAGCGCTTCTGGGTTCGAAAATAAGAACTGAAAATAATTGTTGTTGAGCTCACGAACTTCCAGAGAGTTACCTAGTCTCCATAGCATCATCATGGTTCTTCTAATTCCCACCCAATTGGCTCTCTTTTCCCCCTATTATTTTTCTGAACAGACTTCTGTGGCATTTCTCTGCACTAATCCTCACATCTTTCTCCTCAATGTCTATGATCAATTTCTCTGCATCTGCAATGGACACCTTCCACAATCTGTGCCCTAATTCATCCGCCATGATACAGGAACTCAAGTGCCCTCTGCACCACACCTAACACCCTCGAAGATTGCTACCACACACAACCCTACCTTCGTACGACGAAGAAAATCCTCCCCACGGAGATGAAACTCTTAGGACGAGAGAAGAGATGAATATGAGAATAACGAAGTTTTTTGTTGCTTATACAATTATGACAAAATCTCTTGCAATTCCATTGGCGTTTACAAACGGAATATTTTGTTGCTATTTAGTAAATGAAATTTTCCATTACTATACAATTATGAACAAACTCGTAGCGTCTCATATGTTTACAAGTTGTGATAGAACATGTTAAAAGTGTGATTATTTAAACTTGTGTTCTTTATTGAAACAAAAAAAATAAGGCCCAAAGGGCCAGATAGATTTGTCACCCACTTTATTGATGAAAATAAAAATACGGCCCAAACGAGCTCGGAATATTCAAGGGGTCTTTTATCAATTCAAATCAAACAACATTTACCATAAATAAATGGAGTTATCCTAGCTAACAATTACGGCTGCAAAAGAGTCGAGCAGAAGTGCTCGAGTCAAAGCTCGGCTCGAGCATGAACTTGAATCGAGCTCGAGCACATATTTTACATTGTCGAGCGGCTCGCGAGTGGCTCGAGACATATGAAATTACTAAAATACCCTGTATATGTATTTATTTAATAGTTATTTTACAAAATTGCTTGAAAAAATTCGAATCGAACTCGAGCCGAGCTCGAACATTTTGAATTGAGTCGAGCTCGAGCTCTTGTATTTTTTTATCGAATCGAGCTTGAGCCTCTTAAACTAAAAAAACAAAAAAAAACCAATCTTGCTCGATAAGGCCAATACTCGATTCGGCTCAGTTCGTTTGCAGCTTTACTAACAATCATTCACCGCCTAAAATAACTCTTCTTCTAAGCATATCTCTATTTGATTAATTACAAAACCTTATTTAAAAAATACGTAAAAGATAAATATTACTCAAATTGGAGGTGTGTCAACCACAGCGTGAAACTCGGAATAAAATTCCATAGTGCAGCACAACGACGTCGTGTGGCACAAGAATCTTCGCTGTAACAAACTCTCGTTCTCTCCCCCGCAGAGAAAATGCACTCTCACTCTCCCTCACTAGCTAGTTTGTTATACACAAATAGCACGGTTACACTATACGTATACATATATGTATGTATACATCTGTGTGTATATATAGATCTTCCGCATTGCATAAACCCCCACTTCAATTCATTCCATTCCAATTCTCGTCTTCACATTTCATTTCACTCTTTGCAGAAAAAAACTCATCCATGGCGATCCCGCTGCGATTCCAGCTCCTCGTCCTCCTACTCCTTCTCCTGCTCATCTCGCTCTTCATCTCCGCCGCCACCGCCACCAGCGTCCCCCCGTCCCTACCTCCTTCCTCCGCCGCCACGTTCCATGTCACGGCGACTCATACTTACCCCACGACGCTCTTCGCCACCATCCTCTCCACGCTCGGCTACCAGGAGCTCTCCACCGCCGCTGTCTCAGCCAACCTCTCCGCCACCACTCCGATCACCATCTTCGCCCCCTCCGACGCCTCTCTCCTCTCCTGCCCCTCCTGCTCCCTCCCCGTCCTCCTCCAGGAGCTCTCAATCCCAGGCCTCTACCCCCACCACTTCCTGCGGACACTGACCTTCGGCACCAAAATCGAAACCCTAGCCCCCAACCGCTGCCTCACCATAACCAACAGCAACAAGGATGACAAGGTCTTCGTCAATGGCGTCCAGATTTCCAGTCCCGACACCTTCAACAACGGCCTCGTTGTTATCCACGGCCTTCAAGGCTTCGTCTCGCACCTCTCGCCGCTCTCCTGCCTCGTCGAGCGGATGACGTCGCTGTCGTTTCCTTCGCCGTCGCTCTCCGCCGGGACGTCGGCGGTGACTCCGTCGCTGGTCCTCATGAGGCTGATGTTGAAGGACGCTATTATCCGCCTACGCGCCACTGGATACAACGTCGTGTCGCTCGCGCTGCGAGTGAAGTACATGGAGCTCTCAGATCTGAAGTCGATGACGATCTTCGCGCTTGACGACATGTCCATATTCTCCGGCGGAGGAAATTCTTACCTGTCCAACTTCAGGTATCATGTGGTGCCGAACAAGCGGTTGACGGCGGCGGAGCTCGTGAGCTTACCTCTGGCGACGTCGTTGCCGACCATGGACGTCGGGAATACCTTGGTCGTGACCACCGCCGGCGGCGGCGGACCTCTGGCGCCGATGAGGATCAACTACGTGAAGATTGCGACCATTGATCTGGTCCATAACAGCAGGATTGTGATCCATGGAATCTCGTCGCCATTCCCGCATATGCTCCATCATCAGGCGTACGTGGAGAGCACCGCAGAGATCCAACGGTCCATGTGCGATCACTTCGATTGGATTAGTGAAATCCGTGCGGTTGGAGCTGAAGTGCCAGCTGGCTTGAAGACGGTCGATGTTGAAGACCACCGTGATGGACTGTGAGATCTGATTGAGTGATGGTCAGTGCACCCTTAAGGAAATTGCAGGTCACCGTAGGATAAGAAACTTTACTGAATCACCACGCTTTGATTTGACTGGCTGGCTGGCTGTACTCTCTTTAGTGACCATTGCTGCGGTTTTGAATAAATGAATGATAACAGTTCGTGATTTGAATTTAGCTATCGTCATATTTTCATTTAACGTGTGGATGTGTGCTTTACTTTATTTGATGTTGGCTTAGTTACACTGTTTTTTCATTTTTTGTTTAATTTTTTTTTTTTTAACCTGTGGATGTGTGCTTTACTACTTGATTTATTAATAGCATCATGCTTGAATGAAATCAAACCAATTCCAAATTCTATTAAACATATGCTAATCGAAAGTATCTGTGTAGAGTTAACGATTTTGAATCATTTGCGATAAGACAAAAATTGTTTTGAGAATTTTCCAGATATTTTCATTCACCAACCAAATGAGCTCAAAACTCAGTACAAATACAACGAAGAGACGAACAAATGATACTCGTGAGCTAAGGGCCAATCCCAAGCTTACACGTAGCAACTCCTAACAAAAGAAAAGAAATTAAAAGAAAAGAAAAATAAACCGGAAAATGTAAAAGACGTATTAACAACTCTACAAGTGAGAGTCACGCCTTTAGTAAAACTAAACATAAGGAAATGAGAAAACACACCATAATCCTTGAACTACAATGCATGGAATCTGTTAATTCTCATGCACATAATTCCAAGTACACATGCCCAACTTGACAAGAAAGCGCCGGAAGTCAGGACCTCCTAGAGACTTGGTAAAGAGTTCGGCCGGTTGTGAGGAAGTAGTGATGTGTCTGGGCAAAATGAACCTGTCTTTGTATTGATTGCGCACCACATGACAGTCAATGTCCAAATGCTTGATTCGCTCGTGAAAAACGGGTTTGACTGTGATGTGAATCCCCGCCTTGTTGTCACACCACAAAGAAACATGCTTAGAGATTGGAACTCCCATATCAAATGCAAGATATGAGACTCACTACAGTTCACAAACAGTGGATGCCATGGACCTATATTCTATGTCGGCCGAGGATCGAGAAACGATTTTTTGTTTCTTTGTCTTCCAGGAAATCAAAGCATCTCCAAGGAAAACACAATAGCCTGTCAACGATTTTCGCGTTAAAGTGCAACTTCCCCAATCTGAATCACAGAATGCTTTAAGTTGAGATGAAGGGTGAGCTTTATAGTGTAAACCCAGTTGAGGACAACCCTTAAGATATCGAACCACATGAAGTGCAGCCGTCCAGTTAGCCTTTGTTGGAGCATGAACAAATTGGCTTAGCTGTTGTATGGCATAAGAGATATCAGGCCGAGAAAGATTGAGATAGAGTAGGCGGCCAATCAATCTCCTGTACACCTCAGGTTGCTAGAAGATATCAGACTCTTGGCATGAGAGATTGTGTCCTTGTGGCAGAGGTGTTACTGCACTTTTGAAGTCCTGCAACCCAAAATCATGGATGATATCAATGATGTATTTTCTTTAATTCAAGAAGGTTCCTTGTGTGTCCCTGTTGATTTTCAGCCCCAATAAATACTTTGCATGACCCTAAATCCTTAATAGTGAACAAGCCATGCAGATAGAAATTCAAACCATCAATAGCATTAAGAGAATTTCCTATGATGAGCACATCATCAACATAGATTAATAGGGCCAGGAATTGATCAGTTGCCTTTTCAATGAAGAGGCAATGATCATGACTTGATTGAATAAACCCATAAGCCAACAATTTATCTGAAAATTCAATATTCCACTGTCTGAAGGCTTGTTTCAAGCAATATAAACTTTTCTTGAGCAAACACACTTTTTTTGCTTTCTCATAGACTTTTGGGAGGCAACATGTATACCTCCTCTCTAAGTAACCATGCAAAAATGCATTGTTGGTATCAATGTGATGCATTTCCAGATGATATTGAGTTGCCAAGGCAATAACAAACCTCACTGTCACTAGTTTGGCCACTGGAGAGAAACTATTAAAGAAATCCACCCCTACCTTTTGTAAGTAACCTTTGCCCACTAATCTGGCCTTGAAATTGTCTATACTCCCATTTGGATTATTTTTATTTTGTACACCCATTTGATCCTATAGCTCTCTTTCCCGGTGGCAGCTTGGTAAGTTCCCAAGTTTCATTGGTTTCCAAGGCAGTCAACTTCTTTTTCATTGCATCAACCCATCTATCATGTTTCATTGTCTGCTCATAAAACAAAGGTTATGAGGCATTCTTATCTATCTTAGCCAAAAAGGATTTCATATCCAGATAACTGACATTCTCAGTTATAGAGTTCACCTCATAAATTGTAAACCACACAGGTGGTTTTCTGATTCTTTTGCTTCTGCTTTTCTCATTTCTTATGCATTCAGTTTCCATTACCTTTTCAGGAGCTTTCTTTGAGTAATCAACATCCTGAAATATCTCATCTTCAACAATGGGTAAAGGAATGGAATCTGCCTACGTGACTCCCTTATGTATAAAAAGCCGCTCCTCATAAAACATGACATCCCTTAAAATGAAAATATCTTTGGTTTCAAGGTTATACACCCTATAAACCTTCACTATTATCACATATCCAAGAAATACACATGGAATTGCCCTATAGTCAAATTTTTTTCTATGTGGCCCCAGCTTTGTTGCATAGCACAAACACCCAAAAACTTGAACCTCTGATATGATGGTGAGTTCCCATGCAGCAATTGAAAAGGACTTTGCCACCTAAGCCTTTCACTAGGTAAACAGTATATTATTTGTACATGTGATAACAAACTATATGGCCACAACTCCATTTTCAAATTGGCCTGAATGATAAGCACTTTGTCACCTCAAATATAAACATGTGCTTCCTCTCCACAACACCATTTTGTTGTAGATTGTAGGGACATGATCTCTAGTGCAAAAATACCATTTTTCTTCAGTAAATCTCCCACATCTTTGTTAGTGAACTCACTACCATTGTCAGACCTTACATTCTTGACTTTGCAACTCAATGTGCTTGTAGGTTTCTGACTTTTGCTTCATCAAGAATATCCAGGTTCCCCTTGTAAAGTCATCAACTATGGTCAAAATGTATTTTGTGTTGGTTATAGATTCTTTAAGATGAGGTCCCCACACATCCATGTGAACTAGGTTAAATTTACTCTTGGTCTTTATTTCACTTTGAGGAAATGTTTGTCCGCACTGTTTCCCCCTCTATGACATATGTCACAGGCTTTCAACTCTTTGCTCCAGCTATCAGACCTTAAAAAGTCTATGTTTCAAGAAAGAATAAGATTGTCCCAGCCTCTTATGCCAAAGCTCTACTTCAGCTTCCTTGTCTCCACCTTTTCCAATTACATTAACAAAACTCTAAGGTGTGTCCAACACATATAGTCTACCAAGTTGTCTGCCAACCATCAAGACAACATTCTTTACAGGTCTATCAGTTGGCATTTTTCATTGGTGAATTCAAACTTCATGTCATAGTCTGCAACCAATTGTCCCACTGACATCAAGTTGTACTTTAAATCTGGAATCAATAGGACATTCCTCAGTATGATTTGATCATTCATATTCTCACCTTCCCAATTCTACTCACCTTGATCTTAGAGCCATCTGGTAGGTTGACCGTGACTGGAACTGATACATTAAAAGAGTCAATCACTAAGTCATCATCTGAGCATATATGCATGCTAGCCCTAATATCAATGATCCAACTCCCTTTTTCAAGTGAATTCAGCAAACTGAAAGCATAGTCTTCAAAATTCCATGTGTACTCAACAAAATGAGAAAAAGAATGATTCTCACTTTCTTGTCTCCTAGCCATGTATCTGTCAACCTCCTTTTGAATAATTGAACTAATGTCTATCATTGAGTCACTATGTTGTGATTCTCATCAGAATCACCACTCTTAGTCATATCTTCACTATCTGTCATGTTTACATTATGACTTGATCTTTGTCCCTTCAATTCTTTGTACCAATCCAGATAACCATTCAGTTTAAAGCAACCTTGAATTTCATCTCCATTATACCCACAGTGAGAACAAAATAGCTTCCCCCTTTATTATTTGGTCATCCTCTAATTTCCTCTCCCCTTCCTGCATTGTTGTAACTTTGACCAGAAAAACTCCTGCTATCATTTCCTCTTCCATATCTTGTGCTTATTGTACCTCCTCTCCCATAATTCTCTTTAGCCATCATAGCTGAGCTCTCCAAGGGGCCAGATGCACCAATACTTCTAGTCCTTTGTTTTTCAACTTTCAAAATAATAGAATATGCTCTATTAATAGTAGGTAGGGGACCCATAAGAAGTATCTGAAGTTTACCAGCTCAAAAACCTCGTTTAACCCCATGAGGAACTGCATTAATTTTATTTCCATATCATTTTCATTGATCTTCTTCCCTAACCCACATGTACATTCAGGCAAAGAAATCGGACTTGCATATTCATCCCATAAACATTTCAGTGTCGTGTAATATATAGTCACACTGATGTTGTACCTTGAGCAAATGTTGCTATATCTTTCTGGAGTTGGTATTTTAAAGGACCATTACTTTCACCATATTGTTCAGCAAGTTCATCCCCACAACTCCTTTGCGCTTTTCACATAGATAAAAGCTTTGACTATATCTCTCAAGATCTAATTAAGGAGCCAAGAGATTGCCATGGATTCTACCTTATAAAAAAGCTCATATTCCTCAGTGTTAGGCTCAGGCACTTCGATTGTTCCAAAGATAAAGCCGAGTTTTGATTTTGTTGTCAAATCTAGCTTCATCGTTCGACTCCGGTGTAGGTAAATAGATCCATTGAGCTGAGTGGTGACGAGCACCATTCCTAGGTGGTCAGATCCATGAAGAGACAGAGGATCGATGTCTCTCGAGTAACTATACTTTCCAACGATCTCCTTTCCTTGCTCCTCTCTATTGCGCACCATCGATCAATCAATAACCTACTCTGGTACCATGTAGAGCTTAAGATTTTGGA